GCACTTCTGTACCCACTGTACCCTTCACAGACACTGCCGTACCCACTGTACCCTTCACAGACACTGTCGTACCCACTGTACTCTTCACAGACACTGCCGTACCCACTGTACCCTTCACAGACACTACCGTACCCACTGTACCCTTCACAGACACTACTGTACCCTTCACAGACACTGCCGTACCCACTGTACCCTTCACAGACACTACCGTACCCACTGTACCCTTCACAGACACTGCCGTACCCACTGTACCCTTCACAGACACTACCGTACCCACTGTACCCTTCACAGACACTGCCATACCCACTGTACCCTTCACAGACACTGCCGTACCCACTGTACCCTTCACAGACACTACCATACCCACTGTACCCTTCACAGACACTACTGTACCCTTCACAGACACTGCCGTACCCACTGTACCCTTCACAGACACTACCGTACCCACTGTACCCTTCACAGACACTACCGTACCCACTGTACCCTTCACAGACACTGCCGTACCCACTGTACCCTTCACAGACACTGCCATACCCACTGTACCCTTCACAGACACTGCCATACCCACTGTACCCTTCACAGACACTGCCGTACCCACTGTACCCTTCACAGACACTACCATACCCACTGTACCCTTCACAGACACTACTGTACCCTTCACAGACACTGCCGTACCCACTGTACCCTTCACAGACACTACCGTACCCACTGTACCCTTCACAGACACTACCGTACCCACTGTACCCTTCACAGACACTGCCGTACCCACTGTACCCTTCACAGACACTGCCATACCCACTGTACCCTTCACAGACACTGCCGTACCCACTGTACCCTTCACAGACACTGCCATACCCACTGTACCCTTCACAGACACTACTGTACCCTTCACAGACACTGCCGTACCCACTGTACCCTTCACAGACACTACTGTACCCTTCACAGACACTACCGTACCCACTGTACCCTTCACAGACACTACCGTACCCACTGTACCCTTCACAGACACTACTGTACCCTTCACAGACACTGCCGTACCCACTGTACCCTTCACAGACACTACCGTACCCACTGTACCCTTCACAGACACTACCGTACCCACTGTACCCTTCACAGACACTACCGTACCCTTCACAGACACTACCGTACCCTTCACAGACACTACCGTACCCTTCACAGACACTACCGTACCCACTGTACCCTTCACAGACACTACCGTACCCACTGTACCCATCACAGACATTACCGTACCCACTGTACCCTTCACAGACACTACCGTACCCTTCACAGACACTACCGTACCCTTCACAGACACTACCGTACCCTTCACAGACACTACCGTACCCTTCACAGACACTACCGTACCCTTCACAGACACTACCGTACCCTTCACAGACACTACCGTACCCTTCACAGACACTGCCATACCCAATGCACAATACTCAGCACCTTATCCACTCAACAGGGTAATATGGGACTACGACACCCCTCCCCCTTCCTGGCTTGCAATGTTGCAAGCCTGCTGCTTTCAGCATTGCAAGGTTGCATGCAATTACAAACATATAAAACTGGAATTTGCAACATGATTTAATAGGGTAAGAAGGAGTAATTGGTGAACAAAGTTAAAAGGGAATTTTCGAGGGGGGGATTACGAAGTGTTTCGTTCAGTATAAAGTTAAGTTCCAATGCGTTTTGTACAGTGGTAATTATGTTTAGACATGCCATTATGGTTTTGCACTCCATAGGCTTATATTGCAAGGTCATTGCAAGTATGATCGGTGAAGCACGTTTCGTTCTTGCAATTGATGATATATGTTAGCAAAGTATTCTTCCTGCGAAGACCAATTAACGTACAGGCTCATTAGCCTTGGTCTCATGCAGTCAAGACTGTCAAGACTGTCAACCCCCTCCTCTTCCCTCTCTGTTACTGCCATCCATAGCTCCACCAGCCTTCCCCTCCTTCCACTTACGGGTTCCACAGTCTTCCTCCACCTGCTGCATCCACCGGCTTCCACCTGCTGCATCCACCGGCTTCCACCTGCTGCATCCACTGGCTTCCACCTGCTGCATCCACCGGCTTCCACCTGCTGCATCCACCGGCTTCCACCTGCTGCATCCACCGGCTTCCACCTGCTGCATCCACCGGCTTCCACCTGCTGCATCCACCGGCTTCCACCTGCTGCATCCACCGGCTTCCACCTGCTGCATCCACCGGCTTCCACCTGCTGCATCCACCGGCTTCCACCTGCTGCATCCACCGGCTTCCACCTGCTGCATCCACCGGCTTCCACCTGCTGCATCCACCGGCTTCCACCTGCTCACTCTCCAAGCTTCTCACCCTCATCCTCCAACTCCAGAACCTCGCCCTCCGAGCTGCTCTATCTCCTCCTCCACGACCACAACCCCCACTTCAGATCAACCTGATTTCACTCCACCCAGCCTATCCCGCTTCCACCGCCGGTCGCTCCATTTTTATTTATTTTTTTTTTTGAGTAAAGAGGATGGAGAGGATCTTTTTTCGACATTGTGTAGGCTACATGCTGGTAGATCAGGACTATAGCTGTATGGGCCCCTCTGCGGTTTCTAAACCCATGTTGCCTGGTGTTATACTTCCCTTCCTCTTTCATGTGCTTCATAAGTCTCTGATTGATTATTTTCTCGAATATTTTACCTGGTACTTCGAGGAGGGAAATTGACCTGTAATTTTCAGTTTGGGTTGGGGGTTTACCTGGCTTGGGGATTAATCTTATTGTGGCATTCTTGAAGTATGTGGGGAATAGTCCAGACGCAAGAACTGCATTTACTATACAAGTGTATTGATGGAGTGCTGTCAGTGGTAGGTTGGATAATACCATCTCATTTATCTTGCTGTTGCCCGGCGCCTTGTACTTGAAACCCATAATTGTTTTATGGACCACCCCTGCCAATCACCCCTGATCTAGCCCTGACCAATCTGCAATCACCCCGCCACCACCACCACCACACCCCTGCCACCACCACCACCACAACCCTGCCACCACCACCACCACCACCGCCGCACCCCCGACGCCACTACCACCACACCCCTGCCACCACCACCACCACAACCCTGCCACCACCACCACCACACCCCCGCCTCCACCACCACCACACCCCTGCCACCACCGCCACCACCACCACACCCCCGCCACCACCACACCCCTGCCACCACCACCACACCCCTGCCACCACCACCGCCACACCCCTGCCACCACCACCACCACACCCCTGCCACCACCACCACACCCCCGCCACCACCACCACACCCTGTCATCCCCTTCTTGACTAGACATCAATCAGCGTTCCTTCCTCAAAGAGTAATCTACTACGCTTTTCATTCGTACAGAAGCATAAATGTTAACTTTAATGAGCAGTTTATGAGGAGTCCAAATATCTGTGTGTTCCTTCCGCAGGTCATATCCCTTTACCCCACGTGTTATGGCCTGGATCAATGGCCGTGACGGACCCCGAGGAATGACATTATAACGCGCTTTCATTGCCTTCCTCTTTGTATCCTCTCTCTTTCACTGACTCGGTCGCTAATACATTTCTTCTTTCTATAATTCTCTTTATGTTTTCTGTCTCTCTCAGTTACGATCTCTGTATTTCTCATCTCTTTATTTTAATTTAATTTTGCCTACTTTATTAATAAAAGTAACGATAAGAGAGAGAAGTGGAAGGTCAACAGAGAGAGTGGATCTATGCCAAAAAATAAAAGCCAAAAATAAACTACATCTATAAAGTTAGGTTAAGAATAATACAATAAGAACACATACATACACCCAACACAAGCACATATAGAGATCAGATAAAGGTTAGGTTAAAGGATAAGAGAAGCCACACATTATACACATCAGAAAACGTTATGTAAAGGGAAAGGAAAATAAGCACGGAATGGAACTATCACTTCAAGACGATCTAAATAGTTTTGAAATGGTCAAAAGATTGGCAGATGCAGTTTAATGCTGACAAATGTAAGGTTTTGAGGTTCAAGTTTAAGTACGTTTATTGAGACAAGAAAAAAAATACATCTCAAAGGGATAGAGTAGCTTAGGCTATTTCTATCCCCCCTCCCCGGCTTTCAGGTTAGGTAATGATGATAGAATTATAAGATACGAGCTCGATGGTGTTGAGATTGCGAAGTCGGATTGCGAAAGAGATGATTAGTAAGCATTTAAAACCAAAAAAAAAAAAAATCAATGCCTAAATGTTCGTAATAAGGCAAATAGGACATTGGGATTTATTAATCGTATAATATCCCCATCTCACTGGATGGTTAGTCATGCATGGAATCGGGATAGATCATGAATGCCAGACTGATCTATTAGCCTTCCTTAGCAAAATCTGGGTACAGCACAAGAATATCTTCCAATATTCGTGAGTGTATGAAGTAGTTACAGAGCTCAAAGTATCTCATACCATTTGGTCTAAAATCATTGACATAACAGAGCAGTCGCAGATATAGTGTTGAAGAGTGTATCCGTAGCTCTTGTTCACACAGTTTACAATTGGAATGTTCATCATTGGAGGGATTCATTACGGGCAGCTACCTGTCATAGATATCCATATCCCAGCCTAATTCTGGCAATTACAATGTCACACTGTCTAGTGGATGTTGTGTGCTATCCATACATATAGTTCTCATTTCTAAACAGTTTTTAGTTTAGTTCATTTCTAAACATATAGCATTTTTATTACATAGAGATTGACGAATTGAATGTGTAACTTAAATTTAACTAAAAATCTTGTTAGATTTAACAAGATTTAGGCTTACCCTAAACCCTATGCGTGTTAATATGTGTATGAGAATGTATCATTTAATCACCAAAATCTGTACTTTACACAGTCCACTGTACCTTCTTGTACATATATAAATAAATAACAAATATATGAGGTAGGTGTTGAATAGTAAGCCCATAAGGGTGAGTGGTGTAGGTGTCGTTTGTTGACCTGGACGTCATCAGTGAGCCACCATGGCGGCCTCAAGGGATTACGCTGTGCTCGACCTCCAGGTGGGCCTCGCTCTCCTCATCTTATAAATGTACCTCATTGCGTTTAGCAGCTCCTCGGGAGTCAAGGAGTCACCCATAACTTTTATCAAGAATATAAGAGATTGGAAGGGTAATAGTCATCACTGATTGGAACTTGTCAACGTCATCAATTTGCTTAAGATATATTTCTTGTTTCGTGTTTAATTTAGGTTTCGGTATACAAATCCATTACATATATTTCTATATTTAGGTCGTGACAATTCCTCCAGTGGTGTAAGCTACAAGAACCATTCCTCTTCTATACGAGTAGAAAGGTGGTGGTTTCATAAATGAAGTCGAATTCGTTGTTGATAATCAAGGTTTAAATTTGTTTTATATCAGCCTAAAATTATTATGATTGCTATGTATGCAAAGAAACACAATGACGAGAGCACGCATTAATTGTAGATAACATTTTGCATGGAGAGGTCTGCGTTCTTGGCTCGGTACCTGAAGTATCTGGGTTCACCCCAGAACAGGACATAAAGGTTGGGCACATTTTTTTCACCTGATGGCTTAGTTCACATGGCAGTGAAATAGGTACCTAGGAGTTGAGCAGTTGTGGCCTGCAGCCCGAGTCAGTAGACCTAGGAGGATCTTGTAAGTCTCTTTTTCAAGTCGGCTATCCTGTCCCGTAACAATGAGAATTATGTCCTTTGTAGGATCTTTAAGGAAAAAAAACAGGGAAGGGATTGAGGTCAGCGAGATAAATAGGGGAGATACAAGGAATTGTGTGAAACAATTATTGTATTGCGTCATCCTTAGCGCTGTCCACATCTGAGTGGACAGCGCTAGGGATTCGTAGTCCTAAGGTTCTGTGTTCGATCCCTGGCAGAGGTAGAAACAAATGGGCAGAGAACAAATCCACAAGGGCTGTGACGAGGATTCGAACCTACGTCCGAGAGCATCCCAGACGCTGCCATAATCGACTGAGCTACATGGTATAAGAATTGCAACCAGAAATTCTACTGAATTTACTTGGATCCTGCAGCCTCTCTGAGACACAAACCAGGATTTTACACAACTCCCCCCTGCACTCGAGCTATGTCAATAGACCGTTCTACCTCTTCGCCTTTACTTCATTACACACTGAAATCACAATAGCGTGATGTATCAAATTAACAAATCCACAAGGGCCGTGACGAGGATTCGAACCTACGTCTGAGAGCATCCCAGACGCTGCCTTAATTGTGATAATAATTAAGGCAGCGTCTTTATTATTAAGACGCAGTATTATGGTCAAATATATTAACTTTACATGCAGTATGTACAGTGTTTTGGAATATTAGCATAGATGCCAGCAGATTTCTCTGATGAAAAGATAAAGCAAGAAGAAATATTGTATAGGCTGAAGTCATAGATGGCTTTTGGAATATTAGAAGGCGAACTAATAACGAGTTACTTTGGGGCAATGGAGTGACTTGAACCTGCGCTTTGGTGAATCCCAGACGCTTGTTCTAATGAAAGGATTTTCATTGATATATCACACCATCATGATTTCTTTGCTATTTGTGATCATACTGTATTAATAAATGTTCTTTATTTTTACAGAATAACTCAGATGACTTAGGGATGGATCTGCAATTTCAAGGTAAATATAGAGATTTGCAAATTTTATATTTGGTACAGGCTTCAAGCCAGTGCATCCTTGACACAGGAAAAATATCATATTGTAATTGCATTACCTATAGATGCCTTCCAAACCATTGCAAGGCATCTATAGGTAATCTGAGAAGAGATGTCTTGAGTTTTTTTTTTTTTTTGAGTAAGCTTTTAAATTTTAACATTGATTTAATTGTGCTAAAGAATTAGGTCTGCAAACTTTGCCAAAAACCACCAGTACAGTATGTTCCCTGCAACTTGTTATATGTATATTTTTCAATTCAACATACTACCAAAGATATAAAAATTCTAGACAGTTTCTTTAAGGTGATCACTTTGTAAGAAAATATTTACATGATTTTGGTTGTCACTAATACAAAGGATTATCATTAGTGATATTTTTGGAGACTTGAATTCCTACTCGATGATGGTTTGATAAAATACTGTACTTTCTCGTGTTTGAAGTTTACTGGTACTAAGATCTAACACATTTGTGTGGTTGAGGTAGCTTGTTGCATTTTGCATTTGCCAGACATATTCATATTGTACAAAAAAAAAAAAAAAAAAAAAAAAAAAGGCTTTTGACATCCTACAATATCGTCAGACTTTCTGCTTGGAAGTATACAGTGTAACCTTGAGTGATGAGCAGTTCCAGTTATAAGCATTTCGAGTAACGAGCAAGCCACTCCCAGAAAATATGTCTCGACTGACGAGCTTTCGCTCGATTAACAAGCGTTCTTGCTGGTTCTTGGACACCTCTGACGACAGTTTTGTTGTTATTTCGCAAGACGAGTTTTCCACACACACACACACACGCACGCACATGCACATACATTCATTTTAAGTTTAAATATATTTAAATATTTAATATTTTATAATATTAATATACTGTATTATAAAATATTTTATTTTAAATAAATATTAAATATTTTAAAAAGTCTATTTTTTTATTTATAAAAAATTATATTTATTTATTTATAAAAAATTATAAATAAATAAATATTTTAATTATTAAGGCTAATATTTTAAGTTTAAATATACAGTAATATTGAGTTTGTAATGAGCATACTGTTCAGTGTTTTGCTTGATGCATTTGTTGTTGTCGTTGTTCAGTACATAATAATTCCAACAGATTTTGGTGAAGCCCGTACCCAGCCAGCAGGTGCGGGTGGCAGCCAGCGTGAACAAACCATACACTTCTCTGAGTTTCCTGATTCAGCTGCAGATGAACTAGAGCAGGAAAAGGTTAGTCAGTGGCCCAAACTTGAAAAAAGCACATAAATCAGTTTTGCTTTCATAGAGCTTAGCTTGCTTTTCAGTAATAATTGCAGCCAGTTTGATTCAAACTGAATTCATTGTGCATTGGGAGAGTTCACCCTTGTTTCAACTATTATTGTTGTTAATTTCTTAGTTACAAGCACTGGAAATGAGTGCAGGGGTCTTTAACCAATTAAATGCTTTGAGAGTTGTGCTATTTTTTTTTTTTAATAAGGCTATATTTTAATGTTTTCATCACTTTGTGATTTGAAATGAAACTGGTGGAGTTTGGAAACATTTTGACATTAACTTTACCTGAACATTTATAAAAGCAACAAAAATATGTCCTTAACAATTGCACTACAAACTTTTAGCCAAAAAACAGGTGTGCAGTGCAGAGGTTAAATAAACCCAACCTGACTCAACTTATCCTAACCTAATCTGGCCTTGCCTAACAAAAACAGGAGGTGAAATTTTGTGTGTGCACAAGGTGCATGCCAACATAATTTTAATGCTGGTGTAGATGTTGAATTCTGGCAAATGAAGCCATTTGCCAGTTTTAATGAGGTTCATGCTCATGACTCTTGACTCTTCATAGTTATAAATGCTTGGTTTCAAAAGCACAGTCCATTAGGTAGTTTGTTATTTGCAGATTGGACCCGAGATTAAGAGGCGAAAAATAGATGGACAGTCAGCCCCTTTGTTGCCATTGCACCCTGCAGAGGTTCATATAGCTGCAATCCTTCCGGAAGGTGTTCACGGTGTAATAGATTTTGCTCAAGTAGCCGTTCTTCAAGTGAAGGAAAAGCAGTATATATCACATGCTGTTAAGGACTTGTCTCTGAAATTACCAGTGCCATCTTTAAGCCACTTAAAGAGAGTCCGAAGATTGCTGACAGTGAGAAATGAGACGGAAAATAACAAGTTAGAAGCTCTAAAAGTAAAGAATGAGGGTATGTTTGTATACCTGGACTTTGCAGAAGAGTTTAGTATTCTTCCCTTTAAAGAATTTGGTGATGATAATGTTATGTCTGTGAGTTTAAAGGATAGAAATAAGGTCATAACAAAACTGGAGGAAAAGAAAATTGATACTTCCTTATACACAGATGAAGTGTTTGTTTCTAGAGTGGCCAGATACGCCCCAAAAGTGCGTGATATGTACGACAAAGTAGCACAGTTCTGGCCTTGCTCATTTCATGAAGATTCATATCTAACTCGCCTCTCATCTGCCAATATCTTCAGTCCTGAAGAAGTGAATGTAATTGTCAAGCACATGAATAAAGCAATTGAATTAGGCTCAAAGGGTAATAAAAAAGGAAATTCTGCTGTTGGTGTTGTAATGGTAGATAGCCAGAGTGGAGAAATTGTAAGTTCTGCTAAGGATTCTAGACACACACACCCTTTGCAACATGCTGCCATGGTGGCCATTGATAACATAGCTTGTACACAAGGTGGAGGAGCCTGGGTACAGAATAGTGGAGAGCCTCCTTATGGAGATTGTGAAAAACATGATTCACTTAAAAATATCATGAACCAAGAATATGTTCAAATTATTGACAAGGGTAAAATTAATAATGAAGATTTTAGTAACAGTACCAGTAGTTTTAGAAACACGAGGCCTCTGAACACCAAGAGTACTATTACGGATTCCAGCACAACATACATATGTACCGGTATTGATGTCTACATAACACATGAACCATGCATGATGTGTGCAATGGCTTTGTTGCATTCTCGTGTACATCGTATTTTTTATTGCTGTCCTGAGCCTCATTTAGGTGCTTTAGGGTCGATAACCAAACTCCACACCTTGCCTGGTATTAACCACAGATATGAAGTGTTTACTGTAACTCAAACTTAGCTGTTTAGTTAGATTTAGGTTATTAACTTAGATGAATGTGTCTTAGTACATTATACAGTACAGTATACAGTAGTAGTAGCAGTACATTATACTGTTTAGCAAAAGATTTGGATACAATACAGGTATAAGAAATAGTACAATATTTTTTAGGTTTTATTAAATCTGAAAATCTCACATATAGAAAAAAATAATTATTCATCAAATAGAATCTTGTCTGACTGAAGTGTGTAAACATCTGCTAAACCCTTACTCATTTTGCTTTGAAAGTTTATTATATTCACCAGATTCAAAGCAGTGGGTTGATTGTTTCGATGGACATTACTGTTTTGAGCTTTGTTCTGAAGAGTTTAAGCTAGTGTCTCAAGCAGAGAGTCGGGTACAAACAGCTGCTGACTATGGGCATTTAGTTACTGACAAGTAGTAATTTTGAGTGGTTGCATTTTCATCCCATGCATCATTCATCTCCACTTGTTTGAGTGATATGTACTTCACATTTCTCACGTCTGATGATGTCTGAGCTTTTCTAAAAGTTTCTCTCACTTGAAATGTTTAAATTGCTTTTCTCAAAATGCTGTACCCACCTGAAATAAAATTGTGCCAAGTGAAAGGCAGATATATTTAGTAGTACATAAAATGAGGTTTTAATAAGGGGGGATCAAATTGGCATGATATATCAAATGAGCCCGAAACGGAGCCCTAGTGCAGGGGGGAATTGTGTAAAACCCTGGTTTGTGTCTCGGAGAGACTGTGGGATCCGTGTGAAAGCAGTAGCAATCTTTGTTGCAGTTCTTTTACCATGTCGTGACTCGATCAATTAAGGCGTATCTCGGATCATCCTGGACGTAAATTCAAACCCTCATCACGGCCCTTGTGGATTTATTTATTTGTTCATTTAATAAGGAAATTTTTAAAGTTAACAGAGAAACGATTTGAATGAGAGGATGCATTACATTAGGAGGCAATATATATTCGCAAAAAAAAAAGAAATAATGAGGATACAACTGTTGTTCCAAAAGATATATACTACAATAAAGATCAACATAAGTAGTAGACAACTGATTATCAGGAAATTGTGGGCTTGACAATGTTGATGGTGACTAAACTTTTTTTTAGATTGGTGTTATATGGTATATAATTATTAAAACATTTAGATTAGATTCAGTATGTAATAATGTATTAAGTACTGAAGAGAATGGAAGAATCATAAAATATGTTACTGTATTGAATATAAAATTTAATGTGTAATGCTGATAGGAGTGGTTTTTTCTTGTGAAAACATCTATATTTTACATGCTCTGTCTATTTACAATTCGAGACCATTGAAAATATTTAAGTGTTAATAAAACTTGCATGTAAGAATTGCATATAGTTACTTAAAATGAGTAATTAATGCACGTGGGAAGTAACTGTTGCTGACAACTATAAAGGATTTATTTTAAAACACAAATTTGTTATTGTTATCCTCTTCTAGTTAAATAGATTACCCATTGGAATGTGTAATTACCTAAGTGCAGTTACAGGACGAGAACTATGTTCACGGTGTCCCATCTTCCCAGTATTCTTTACTATATAACATTTTAAACTACATACTATTTTGTACTGTGATGTGACTCAGTAGTGTGGCTATACTGGGTAGATGGAATGTGGCATGCACTTTGCATTAATAACAAAACTGCTGCATTGGCCTTTGCAGTGTGAAAATTGCACAGGAGTGAATGAATACTAAAGTGAAAAATGATGACTGTTTATTCTAATATCAAAATGAACAAATAACACCAAAAATATACAACACCCTGAGTTGACATACTTGGCTAGCACACACGAGAAATAATAATGAGACAAATATATACATATATACAAACTTACGTTAACGCACAAATAAAGGTGACACTGAAATTATTTACTATTACAACCTGGATATGAAGCACCTGTAGGCAAGTGTTGCATGGAGGCCGTAATGTTGAATTCCCTGAGCACCTGAGATAGACTGCTTTACACAATTCCCCCTAATTGTGTAAAACCCCAGTATTTGCTTTGGAGAAGCTGCGGAAGCCTTGTGAGGGCAGTAGTACTCCAGGTTGCAATTCTTTTAACCATGTTGTGGCGCAGTCGACTAAGGTGCATCCAGGATCATCCCGGACATAGGTTCGAACCCTCATCACGGCCCCTGTAGATTTGTTCAAGTCTTTTTACTCTTCTCTCTAGTTTGTTTTTCAGTTCAGATATTAGCTTAAATACTGAAGTTATGCTGAATGTCCTGGCTTCCAGTCCTTTATTAGTTTCTGGGAATAATTTAAGACTGACTGAGAAAGAAGAAATAGATCTCTGACAATTCACAGGCATTACCTACATCTTCTAAGCACTTCCATAGTACCTTGAGGCACTCCTCACCTAAGCTCTGGAAGTAACTTTTTGGGACTTCCAGCACTTAAATATTTTGTCAATAACTGGCAAAAGGAAAGCCATCGAGTCACATGCCACAACAGGCTGCCACTATCAACCTCCACAAATTTACAGAATTCCTTTAACTGAGCTGTTCTTTTAGCTGAGATGCTGAAATGGCTATACACTTTGAGTACAATATCTTCAACATCAATTTCCCTGTAGCATATTTAGCATTGTGCAAAATATGAGCCAGATAACTTGCAGCAATTGCCACCGATTACAGCCCTCATTTTACTATCAATAAATTTTTCATCCATGTTAGAAGCTTACCTGTCACCCCTCCAATATGTTCCAGTTTCCAGAACAACCTCTTATGTGGAACTTTGTCATAAGCCTTTTTTAGGTCCAGATGCAGTCAACCCAACCCTCTCTTCCCTGTAAAATCTCTGTGGCTCGATCATAGAAACTGAGTAAATTTGTTACACAGGATCTTCCAGATCGAAAACCATACTGTCTGTCTATATCGAGAGATGTGTGCGATATTATGTCGTTTTTCTCCAGGTTTTCTACCCATTTAGTTTTAATTACTTTTCTCAATATTTTGACTATTACACTTTTTTTTTTTTTTTTTTTTTTTGAGATATATACAAGAGTTGTTACATTCTTGTACAGCCACTAGTACGCGTAGCGTTTCGGGCAGGTCCCTGGAATACGATCCCCTGCCGCGAAGAATCGTTTTTTCATCCAAGTACACATTTTACTGTTGCGTTAAACAGAGGCTACAGTTAAGGAATTGCGCCCAGTAAATCCTCCCCGGCCAGGATACGAACCCATGACATAGCGCTCGCGGAACGCCAGGCGAGTGTCTTACCACTACACCACGGAGACTTGTCAATGATACAGGTCTAGTGAGTGAGTGTGTGAGAGAGAGAGAGTGTGTGAGAGAGATTGTGTGTGTGTGTATGTGTTTAGCTTATTTAGGAATTTAAACAAGGGGGTATACAATAATGTTGTCTGAAGACAGAATTTGTTGTAGTTCTGATCAATGAGTTTTGCTGAGCAACGATGGGCTTGAGATAGTTTTCAGTGGTTGAACCCCATGCATGGATATCATAAGTTAGATTGGGACAAATTAGTGAGTAATATAGTGTGAGAAGACCAGAGTGCAGGATACTGGATTTTGTTCATGTATATGAATTAATTTGGATATACAGTACAGTATTTTCATTTGCTGTATGTGAGTGGCACAGTAAATTCTCTTGTCATTGTATAAAACTAGGAATCCTCCCTCACTTTTGTTCACGGAGTTTATTTGAAAATCTATTTGATTATATGTTTTGAAATAAAATGTTACAGGCCTTTTGAAGTTTAGTGTGAGCGTGTTGAGTGACATCCAAGTATATCCAGGTATGGACATACTTGTTATCTTGTATGTCATGGATTTTAATTAAAACCATGTTTTTCATAACACCTTCACCACTAGTGGTATTCTTGTGGTATTCCTGTGGTACTCTGATAGTTGTTTTATTTGTTTGGACTTAATTGGTCCCTGGACTTGATTATATTTAGTACAGATTACTATGTCATTTAGGGTATGTGGGTTGGTGACAGAAGATAAAAGTAATATCATCAGTACATGGTACAGGTTTAAAAGGGTTGAGAACACTTTTCATTGTCATTGATGTATAAGAAGGGGAGTGTTCCTTGTATGCTTCCTTGTGGTACACTTGTAATACTCTTGTGGTATTCCTGTGGTTCTCCTGTAATACTCTTGTGGTATTCCTGTGGTACAGTATTCTTGTAATACTCTTGTGGTATTCCTGTGGTTCTCCTGTAATACTCTTGTGGTATTCCTGTGGTACAGTATTCTTGTAATACTCTTGTGGTATTCCTGTGGTTCTCCTGTAATACTCTTGTGGTATTCCTGTGGTACAGTATTCTTGTAATACTCTTGTGGTATTCCTGTGGTACTTTTGTGGTATGTACTCTTGTCGTACTAATACACTGATAATATAGTCATTAATAAAATCTGTGCACTTTGCAGCTGATGGGTGAGAGTGAGAGTGGAGAACCAGCAGGAGTGAAACCTGCTGCCTCTTTCTGGACCTTCGAGTTTTACCAGCAGTTTTTTGATGTTGAAAGTAAACAAGTTGGAGATCGAATCTTGTGGTCTATGGTGCCCAAGCCAGGTGTCAGTTATTTGCAGTCATATATTAGACCAAATCCTGATCTATATGGTAAGTTTAAAACTGGTATACAGTATGTTCATTTGTTTATATGTTAAAAATGCATTTTGTTGGCTACAATACATCATCTGTGGCATACTTTTCTGGGGTAGCTCCTGGGTGGCTACTGAAGCTATCTCACTGAGAAGGCTTCCCACTACTGGGTCACATCAGTCATAGGAGTCCTGTTTGCCCTTCCAAGGAACAGAGATAGATTGGCGCCCTCATAGAGGGGCAGAGAGCTGTGATTTTTATGATCACCCACACCGACAAAGTATCCACAAAGGAAGTGAAGCAATATAGACAACCGCAAGGTTCATAGAACACGAACCAGGGAAACGGCCAAACGACTCTGCAAACGATTCATCCAAAACAAATGGTTCACTCTAAATTAGTTTGAGCCTCTTGGTTCAAATGGCCATCAACCAGTCAGCCCCTGATCAGTCCTGTCGCTAGTGTGCTGCTATGCAGCACTTTGCAGGTCATCTCTTCATAACGAGCCCCACTTCTTTCTTAACTAAGTACTAACCATCATTTAGACTTAGTCTGGCGGGGGGCCCATTTGTGTATTCCAAATACTAGTATTTAGTATTTACTTCATGAGCATATGTTTACCTGCCTAATTTCGTGCATGGACTTGGTTTATTATTTGCTTTGACCTGCAAGTGTTTAAGGGGACCTTTTCCTAGGTTCTCATCTAGTATTGCCCCTGCATTGACAGTTGGTCCTCTGGTGTGTTCAGGAGTTTGCCCTGAGAGGCCTGGCCACTGGGATGGTGAGCCCCATCCTGGGTAGTGCACAAGTCATTGATGCCTGTGTGTGAGGCCCTATGGCTTTGGGCATTCTATTTGTTTGTGATTTGGGGTGCACTAAGGAATGCACACCTGTTTATACAGCAGAACTCTGTAGCCATGTTACCCTATGCTGCATTTGGTGTCTGTTCTTTCACCAAACATTACTAGTACCTGCATGTCCTGTTTAGCTAGTTGCTTTCAGGGCCTAGTGGAACTGCCACAGCTTGTTATGGATTGACTCGTTGAGCTTGTACTTGCTGTGTGCGAGTCTGAAGGGTGCTCATTGACCTTACTACAAGCCGATGGTCATTGTGTCTGCCACACTGCTCGTTTGTGTCAGTGACACCTTCAACCCTGAGATCTGCAACACCTTTGACCCAGAGACCTGCGATGTATGTGCTCTCATTGGATCTCCATATTACTTGAGCCTGCTAGATGACAGGAGACTTACTTACCAGGCAGCTGCTGTTTTGTGGGCTTGCTTTTCCCACTTTCTTGGTTCACTACATGGTGCTTAGATGGATGCCTCAGAGTTGACACCCTGTGGTGTTTAGGGACTTGAATTTGGAGGCATTGGTGTATTCCACCTGGGCTAAGTCTACCCCTCTTTATAAGGTGGACAGCCCAGCTAGGCTATGCCTTTATGAGGGGGACCAGGTTCTAAACCCTGGTAGGCCAAACAGGACTCCTATGACTGACGTGACCCAGTAGTGGGAAGCCCTCTTGGCTAGATAGCTACAAGGGTTCTACCAGAAAGAGGCATTTCATTCAATGCTGGTTTTCTTATCAATTACTTTTTTATTATTGTCAACATGCACAGTATTTCTAGATGTAGCTATTCAAAGTTATGTCTAAGTTATCCGGTTCATTGGTCCAAAGTATGTTATGAGTAAAGGCAGTTTTATATTTTAGGACGTAGACAAATTATTTTGTTTACCACCCAGTGGGCTGTATAACTTTTTTTTTTCAAGGGCCATTAAGCTTGTTTGTTGTATGTTTTCCAGAGAAGGAGATATGTCAACTTATAACTATCTAATCT